AAGCAACATGGTTCGGGCATGCGAGTTTTCTGATTGAGACGAGCGGCAACGCGGGCGCAGCAAGGGGTGTCAGGGTACTACTAGACCCGGTCTTCAGCGAGCGGATGAGCCCGGTGGGGTTCGCGGGCCCGAAGCGCTTTTCGCCGACGCCGTGTGCACTGGAGGAGCTGCCGCAAGTGGACGTCGTGGCGATCAGTCATGATCACTACGATCATTTGGACATCCCAACGATACAATTCATCAGAGAGCGCGGGGAGGGCAGGGTTAAATTTCTCTGCGGGTTGGGCGTGGGGCGGCATTTGATGGGCATGGGGGTGGATGCGAAGGATGTGGTTGAGTTGGATTGGTGGGATGGCGTCAGGATTGAGGTGGAAGGCGTCGGGAGCGTGAGGATGGTTTGTACACCCGCGCAGCATATGAGCGGGCGGACACCTTGGGGAATAGGGGTCACGCTGTGGTGTTCTTGGGTCATCGAGGAAGAGGAGTTGACTTCCGACGCCGAAGAAATTACCAAGACAGAATCGGTTGAAGCCAAGAAATTATTCTTCGCAGGTAAGCTTCCTTCGTCCTAATCAGAATAACCCCGCGTCTAACAATCACAGGCGACACCGCCTACCGAGCCGTGTACGAAGAAACCCCCGCCGACATATCCTCGCTCCCTCACTGTCCCGCCTTCGCAGAAATCGGTGACCTCTATGGTCCCTTCGACCTTGCGCTGCTGCCCATCGGATGCTACCTCCCACGCGCCTCCCTCTCGCACGTCCACTGCGCTCCAGAAGACTCGGTGTGCATCCATCGCGATGTGCGGAGCAAGAAGAGCATTGGGATGCATTACGGCACCGTTCGGGGTGGGATCAGCAAGGAGTATGAGGATGTGAGAGAGCCGCCGAGGCGGTGGAGGGAGGCGTGTGAGAAGGAAGGGCTCGTTTGGGAGACTGAGGTGGGGCTATGTGATATTGGGGAGACTGTGGTTGTTTGAGGTCCTGACGGAGGGAGAGACATTGTGTAAGCTTATGTTCATTATTTATGTGTCCTTTAAGGGATGGCTGCAAGGATCCTACGAAGCGAAAAGGTACCTAGACCAGTTCTGGTGCGTAGACGCCGACTCGGCGCTGACAATCGGTGCAGTTTGATTCATGGAAGACGCCGCAATGTACGTACCATCTGGCTGAATGCGGCTCACTCGATGTCATCCGAAGATCAATGGATCCCTAGCTGAATTCTCAATTACTTGCGAAATTCTCAATATTTGTGAGGGTCACGCAGTACAGTTCTAGTTCAACCAAAGGGTCTTGAATATTGTAAGCTTCATTAAAAATACAACAACTTCCTGCCATGAATATTCTGATCGGGCGATTAATATTGGTATTGCATAGGGGAATAGATGCAGTCGCTAGAACGGAGTAAAGAGAAGGCGATTGGCCCTCCCGCCTGTCACTTGCAAATGTTTAGCGGTTCATTCATGGATCTCGTCCAGAGCACGTTTGAATTATCACCGTCGTCGCAAAATTTCCCAATTCTCGACATCTGAATCCGGGGTCTGCACCCTCCTTCTCCCATCCTCATCCACGTATTTCAGGAACCCTAATCGTGGCAGCGTGGAAAGAAGGGCAGACTCCTGGGTACATAGTCGGTACGGCTCCTCAAAGATAAGCTCTCACGCACCTCAACCCACAGTTGTAAAGGAGACATTGACGAACTATAGTCCGGGGCACGCGTGCGCAGAGTGTGAGTCTTCTCGTAGGTGGGATTAAACGCGGAATTGATATCCGGCAACGCAGATGCGGCCCCGTCATTCGACTGGTGATAGCATTAATCTAACTGGCTCGAGGATCGGTGAAACGACAAACCCGAAGTATCTCGAGAATCCGTAGGAGCTCGGTGCGGCATACATCGGGCTGATTGTTTCGATCCCTGTGCTTGAAGAAACCCTTGAAGCGATGAGTGCTTTGTTGGGATTTCATCCCGGCACATAGCGTATTGAGGGTCCTAGACCGCAGCCGCAGATCAGCATGAGTCGACAGTGCCGGAGGAAGGTACGTGCGCCGTAAATAAACGCACTTCGTCGCTCGCTGAGTTATGTTGGACAAGGATGACACGTAGGATGTCGTGGATAACTTCGATGACTCCTTGCAAACCATGTGTTTCTTTTGCTAGCTAATGCATTGGTTGCTGTCGATTAGTTGCGAGCGATTTCCTGCAGCATCAACGATATCGATCAAGGCTTACTTGACAGACCCGTAGACTCGCCTCCGCCGCGTCGCCCAGGACCGGATTATCTTCCGAGTTCGAAACATTCTGAACCTCGGCGGTAGTAAGGTTCGTGTCTTGGATCAGGCTTGCGAGTGAGGTGGTCGGATGCATGCAGTTTTAAAGGCCTTCGTGGCGGTGAGACGAGCCTATATATATATATGACAGCCTAGCGTCATAACTCTCCAACGGCAGAGGTCGACAGGTTCGTGCCGATGTTATTGAATGGTATGATCCCGAAGCTCGAGACAGAAATATCGACAGAGGCGCACATGGCGGAGAGGGGAAATTGCTCCTGTCAGTGACTTGAAGTTCCTGCCCCGAGAAATGGATAGTTGTTCAAAGCATGGCTGATTTCTTAGCAGACACAGGCCCCACGGAGTGAGAAAGCCACTAGCACCTGATTTCATTGAGAAGTTCCGGAACGCCACTGTGGAGAATGGCAAGTCCGAGAAGACGAAAAGTGGAGTCACCGCTGATTGCCGATCGCGTGGTTGATTCGGCCTTTCGGACAACTGTCGGTTCTATTCGGCCATCCGATTTTTCAACCACAGGTTCAACGTTTATATTTAATTGCGTTGTGGCACAAAGGCCATTCCTCTTCGGAGGCGAGCCGAGGAGTGGACCATCCCCAGACTACTTCATAATAATATACTTCGCAGGTGCAAAATGTCCTCAAAAACTGGTCGGTAAGAAATAATATTACTCTTGGATTCCGATTCCTTTCCTTAAAGTACCGGCCCTCAGTAAGTGTTACCACCCGGCCGGAGATTAGAGAGGAACAATTGAAATGATGTTGCCTTGGCAAAGTGCCTCTTTACCAGCACAGATATGATCGTTTTCAACGAAGATATTCCACAACCAACTGGGTAGGAGAACGACTCGGTGGCAGATAGTCCGCGTCCGCATTCTAGCTCACAGTGCAAGTGGAATGTGTCGCCTCGATTTCGGCTCGAGTGCTAGCATGTTGGATTCTGCCATTCTTTTTTTTTCTTTTGTGGGCACAGTTCTAGCCAGGATATTCAAGAATCCCTGTGTAAGAAACCGACTCGGTGGCGGAAGTTCCGCATCTGCGGAGGCCATCTCAAAGGCATTTTCAATCCGTCAGTTCGAATCCGGCTCGAGTCACGTTTGTTGTCGATGCAACTATTTTTTGTATTGCGACCAGAGTTTTGAGCTTGTATATTCAAGGACCAACTGGGCTAGAGAACGACTCTGTGGCGGAAACTCCGCATCTGCTGAGGTTATCTCGTAGGTGTCGCCAATCCGAGCAGAAGGTGACGGTTCGAATCCGGCTCGAGTCATGTTTCGTCGGTCTAACTTTTTTTTGCGTTGCGGCCAGAGTTTTTGAACAAAGTTATTGAAGAGCCAGAACTGTATTACAGCCGTTGCAAAATTGATGACAGTCGGCGCAAAATAAATAAAAGAACGACTTTTGATGTGACCTTTTTCTGACCACGTACCTCATTCAATTCTCAACGAATTTGTTCGGTTCGGGTACCGTTCTAAAGGGCGTAAACAGGGCTTTCGATTGTGCCCGGTGAAGCATTCCGCAATTTCCGGGTGCTTCCTAACAGCCGAACCACGGTGCGCTGCGCGAGAGCTGTGCAAACGACTCCCGTTGTTCAACAACAATGCATAAGTTGATTTTCCTGAATGACTCGTCAGTTCCTGACCTCGCCGCAGGGTGACCTGCTGATAAACTGTGGTTAATTCGCGCCGTTTGAGTATAAAACGAGCCAGTCCCCAGCTCATTTTTTTGGGGGATCTCTGAGCGACTGCGTTCACTGCGCGCAAATATTCTCGCGCTGTCAATGCTTATCAAACTCTCTCAACCTGTCTTTGGCCCTACGCAATTCTCAAATATCCGGGACATTTTCTTTCCTGTGGTTCAATATCTGGGCTGTAATGATGCTGTATCTTGAGGGGTGTTTCTGCACGATCGTCATCAATGGCTCCGCGAAGACTCAATATTGAATATTGAATTGCTGCTCTCTGTTTAACATCAATGACGGCCTGGACAGACAGGAAGCCGTTGTTTCAATCCTTTTCTTAGCTGTCTAGCAAGTGATATTCTGAATAATTTCGGCCACAGTTGATTGACATTATGTGCCATTAGTAACGATGTCGTCGAAGCCGCTTGTGATGCTTGGGGTGAGTTAAACCAATAGCTAGCATTTATCTTGCACAACCCAGTCGGCGCACGCGCTAATTGGGTGATTGTACTTTATTACAATGATCCTCACTCTCAGTACTATTCACAGTTCGGTTTTAACGGAGCGAACGAATGGATGGGCCGTCGCGACACGCTCTTTGGGATCCTCCATTCGAACCCTAAAGCCAAATATGTCACCCGCGCTCTTCAATTTGGGAGTGAGCCAGTTTCTGACGGGATATTGTCGCGACTTGCTGATGGTTTCTGCAGGATTTTTATTTCGTTCTCGATGCACACTGCACCAACTAAGTTCAAGACCGTCCCAGGTACGCATCTGCGGCGGTTATCTCGAAGTCCAATTAGAAGGTACCGGCTCGAGTAATTGAAGGGATTCAGCTTCGAAGTATATTCTTTTTTGTTTCGAGATTAGAGTCTTATAATTCAAAAAAGCTATTGAAGAACCAGGACTGGATTGGAACGCCTCGGTGATTAAAAGTCCGCATCTGGAGATTGTGGAGAAAGAATAAAGACATTTTCCAGCTTCTTTTGAATTTGCAAGCACACTCTTATATAAGAACCCCCTTGGTAGGTGAAAGACTCGGTGGCGGAAGGTCCGCGTCTGCGTACTGTGAATTGCTAGTGGATGTGCAAGTAGAAGGTGCCGGCTCGATTCCGGCTCGAGTCATGGTGTGTGATGTGAATAATTTTTGTGTTTCGCCAGCTAGGATAGTCAAGAAATCACCGTGGATTAAACGGCAGAAGTTTTGGACTGCGCATTCTGGAGTAGGAAGTACTATCACGCGCTGGGATCCAGGCCACCTTAGCTCTTTTGGTCATTTACCAAGAGTGTGGGTGGAGATCCCTCGGGCCTGATCAGTTCGAAACAAAGGCATACATTCTGCGAAGAGGTTGAGCCTATTTTCAGCAATTCCGGTGACGTTCTGGCCTCTGGGTGAATTTATTTCGGTCGAGAACACCGAAAAGGCAATTGATGGGGTACCTGGCCACTCGTCAAAATCCATTGTTAGCACCTTGGTTCGTCGTCTCTGAGTCTATAATAAGGTTCAATGATTTCATATGTTGTATTTGAGATGTTCAAATGTTTGATTTGACACATCCGAGTGGTGAAACAAAATGGTATTAACAAGAGGTGAGGGCAGCGAGATCGATCCCGACAGTAAAACGAGGCTTACGTGGCAGTCAGAGTGAGAGGTTGCCCAAATCAAGTCTATGGAAGATCCACAAGATGTTTGTGAACATTCCTAGAGTGATCACTTGAGCCTTGGGTCTCGCCCCTGAGAACCCGACATTTAGACATTGCTACCACCCAAATAGGGTGATTTTGCGTTCTGGGAAATATCAAGAGAGGTACAGAATAAAGAGAGCGTTGGAGTACATTTCAAACTTCAGTCAAAGGTATCATAATGGACCATGCAACACACTGTATCCGTAGTGCTGACAGGCCGTTTGATATCGGTGCCACTCTCTTGTGCTCATCGAGGTTGGATTTTCCTCGTTTGTGGTGGTGAAGGCCAGGGGGAATGGATATGTGCATGCCTGGTGATTCTAGAAAAGGAGCCTGGAATCAGGGGAACAAAATGAGCCTATGAAGTCGTGAGTCGACCAAGAATTGGTGAAGAACGGGGCGGAATGGCCCCTCAGAATTAAGGAATTAATTTTCTCACCCTCCCGCCTGCCATCAACCGCGCCACAGCTGTCGATCAACCCATCACTTTCATCCAAAAATTGGCATAGACCAGCCTCATAGGTTGCACTCTGCCTCTGGAATGCGATAATGGGATATTATGAAGTATCCCGGCAGAAAATTGACAAGTGGCCAGGTTCCTAGTGTGGCCAGGTTCCCCGTCAGAGATCCTATACATGAAAGCACGATGAGCACAGCCTTTGACAGAAAGTCATGTGAAAAGTCACCTGAAAATTCACGTGATGCTGTTGAGATGTTGATGCCGGCTGTTGAGATGTTGCCGCCGGGTCCCACGACTCGGAATTAGCCGTGTGCGGGCGAACCCCCCGACTCTGTATCCGCCGTGTGCGGGCGAGCTCTGTATCCACTGTGTGCGGGCGTCCCCGTGGCGAAGGCACGGGTCCGAATAAACTGGTAGTACATGAAACAAGCAGGAATTTTATTCAAATCAGGTGATGGGTTGATTATCTTTGTTTGGTTGTACGAGCAGAGTTTTCAGCTCAGATATCCAAGAACCACACACACATAAGACTCGGTGGCGGAAGGTCCGCCTCTGCGGCGGTTACTTCGAAACATTGCCGGTCCAAGCGGAAGGTGCCGGTTTGAATCCGGCCCGAGTCATGAAAGAGTGGTGTATGGATTTTTTTGTTTTATTTTGCAGCCGAATCTTCGACCAAGATATTCAAAAACCAATTTTGAATCAGGACGACTCGGTGGCGGAAGGTCCACATTGGCTAATATTGCGAGGACTCAACTATGAAAGCAATCGATGCCAGTTCGATTCCGGTTCGAGTCATTCATTGGGTTTTTGCACCGCATTTTTATTGTCTAGAAGCAGAGCTTTTGACCAAGGTATTGAAGGGCCAACTAAGCAGGATAGAGACTCGGCGACGGAAGGTCTGCATCTGCTGAGGCTACGTTAAAGGCATCCCCAATGCAAGTGGCAGAAGGTGCCGGCCTGAATCCGGCTCGAGTCCTAGATTTCTGCTATTCACTTTTTTTGCTCGGTGAGCAAGGCTTTCAGCTTGCATGTCCAAGAACCAACCAAGTATGAGAACGACTCGGTGGCGGAATGTCCGCATATGCCATTATTGTTAGGAGAGACAGCGCTGCAGCCCTTATGATGCGGAAGGTGTCGGTTCGATTCCGGCTCGAGTCCTCGATGTGGCTCAGACTTTCTGCTATTCTTTTGTTTTGTTTTGCGGGCACAGTTCTAGCCAGGATATTCAAGAACCTCTGCGTTAGAGGACGACTCGGTGGCGGATGGTCTGTCTCTGCCAATACTAGCTATGAAATCTGTAACCTGAAAGCAGAAGGTGTCGGTTCGATTCCGGCTCGAGTCATTGGTGAAAATCTTTTTGCAGTTATACGAACAGAGTTTACTGCCCGGCGGATTTTTGTCGTCAAGAAGCAGAGTTTTGCCTGAGATATCCAAGAACAACCTGAGCAAAAGAATGACTCGATGGCGGAGGGTCCGCGTCGGCTCATATTGTCTCAAAAATGACAGCAATGCGGGCAAAAGCCGCCGTTCGAATCCGGCTCGAGTCATGGGCTCAGGCTCAGGCGATATCTTTTTTTTCGAGAAATATGCGAACCAGCCCACTTTTGTCTAAGATTTGTGAAGGAATGTGTCCACAGATTCAGATTCCTGGCTGTCAGATATGGGGCGCCGAGGATCTATCAATGGCAGAGTGGTCTGCGGATGCACCGGGTGCTAAATACAAAGGCTAGATGTGCAGCAGGCGCCGGTTCGACTCCGGATTGGGCCATGGTTAAACCATCGAATGCTTTTGCCCTCTCCTGGACTTACTTTCTTTTCTCGCCAAGGAAGATATTTGAAAAGACAAAAGAATTGGATCAGTCGCTCTCGGAACGGTGAAGTTGAGTCGGACCTTGCCTTGGAATTATTTTGCAAAATTCTGAACCTTGACAGAGAAATGGGAAGCAGAAGGCGGAAATTTCAACATCGCTCCTGCTTCAACAGCCTCAGACACGCCCAGATAGAATATTAATTCCTTTTGCAGCTGGGCCACGCGGCACGGCCCCTCGACATCTGATTCAAACTCCGCTCTCCTGACTCTGGACCACCACCCACATTCATCAGCAAAACCGGATTTTAGCTGGAGTGACCAGAGTAGGAGGTTCTTCTCCAGAGTGCTCCAGAGTAATCGGCCTACTCTGGAGCACTCTGAAGGACGACCTCCTACTCTGGGGCATGAGCCATACTCTGGAGCACTCTGGAGGACAACCTCCTACTCTGGGGCATCAGCCATACTCTGGAGCACTCTGGAGTATCAGCTGTACTTTAGAGTAAGTGCTGCGACTCACAGAAAGAGGGGGGGGGGAAGGAAGAGGAGATATACCCATATGAACATGCTCAAGAAGCTGAAACAGCTTGCCTCAAAATCCAAACAGCGCGGCGTGAGAATGTCAGCAAATTCATATATGTCTGTCGAACAAAATGTATAGAATGCATATATTAGTTCACTAGTCCATATATAATACTTAAAAGAGCGCGCTGGGGCGCGAAGCATCCCAGCACTTGCCGAGAAGGTTTTTCCGCTTCGCCAGTTCCCAGGACCTGCCCTGGACTGTTCAGTCAGCTTGCTGACCTTGACAACAACCATGTACCTGCAAGTAACGGTTAAAATCACCGCAGTGAAGTTAGAAACAAGCAATTGACTCACGGAACGACATGGTCCTCGAACTCGTAAAGGCTAGAGTAGAGTAGACCTTGAGCACCTTGGAGCCCTCCGCCATCGATTTGAACAGCAGCGGCTCCGGATCGACCTTCAGGTCGATGCCCAAGCATGGTGTGGTCGTTCCCACTACCAATAGAATCCCCGTCGCAGATGAGCTTGCACTTGTCGTCGTAGTTGAGCGCCGCGAGTGAATCGACTGTCTGCTGCAACGAGTCCTCGCCCTCGGTGTAGCACGGCAGCTGGCACGGTACGAACTTGTCCTGCAACTCGGAGTTGCGCTTGCTCCCCAGCTGCAGTGCCGCCAGGACTATTTCAATGCATGTCAGAACAGAAAACGACAGAAGGTAAAGAAAGAGCATACACTTCATGCCCATAGACGCCATGAGGATAGCGACGCGGCGATGAGGAAGTAGTTCTGCACCGTGCACCGCGCTGACTTGCGGAAGTTGATGTCCCCAACATATAACATGTTATTAAGGTACTCCATGTTGAGCCCCTTCTGGTCCTCCACCATCGCGTCCAGCACCGTATTCAACGATTTGGTAATGTCTTGCCCCAACTGCTGCTTGAACACGTCCAGGAAGATCACCATCTTTTCATGCCACGCGAGACGCACGTTGGGGTGCTTCATGCGGCCCAGGAATTTCATGAGGAATGACGGGATGTAGAACGTGAGGGTCCAGACGATGGCGAGCCATACACGGCGCGCATGACTCGACGGGACTTCCTCCACGGCGTTGTTGTTAATGAGCGCGCCACAAGCGCCACGAGCGCCGCGTCCAGCAGATCGGCATCCACGGAAACGAACCTGTGCATATTGTACGTGGACGCGCCAGCGTAGTGGTTGATCCCGAAGGTGCGCGGACGGGCGGAGAGATTGCCTGTGCCGACACCGCCGGAAGAGGCGGGGAAAGGCACCGACTCAAAGGACGCGCACAAGGAAAATCACCTGACAAGCTCGGCGAGGAATTCTTCATCGCAGGCAGTGCTCTGCAGGGCCTGCATGACGGCCGGGGTGACATTGGCGGCAACAGTATTATTGTCGGCAGGGATGAAGGGACGAAAAGATGGCGGCAAGGAGGGAAAGGATGGCAGGAGTGCGTTTGAAAGAGAGGGTGCGGAGAGTGGCTCGGAGGTCGGACATGCCGATGGAGAGCCAGAGTTCAACACATCGTCGAATGCAGTCGACTTCGACGAACGCAGGGAGATTGCTGAAAATATTGAGACAGAAGTACAGAAGTGGGCAAAAAATATTACTTACAAGCACCCTGCACTTCG